AATAACAAATATGAGTTTTGTAACTATTTAGGGCTAAAGTGAGGCAGATTATCAGATTTTTTTTAAAATCAGAAGCTCGTGATTAGGACCAACCTCTATTTCCGTCTTTCCAAAAATCAATAATGATCACTTCTGAGCTGTTAAGTTTAACTAGAAGTCATGTCTAAACACGGTAAACGATTGGTTGCCATGTTCATAGAATTCTAAAGTCGAACCGGACAAAAGAAATTGCCATTTTCACATCTCATTAATGAGGAATTGAAACATATTTTACCATGATGTACACGTATACGATGCTACTATAATATTAGCTTTTTTTAATTAGAGTGGAAATTAACTACATAGATGAAATTAAATTTACTGATACTGAAATTAATAAAAAAAATTATTTGAATCTAACAAATCATTACGATAATTAATAGAATCAGGCGTTACTTTGCGGAAATTCATTATATTGAAGTTGACAAAAAATTACTTTGCGTACATACGCGCGATAAAATAAAATGATGTGTCTTACCTAGTTTGAAGAGCACCTCCCGCCCTCCCTCAATTGCAATTGCAATTGTTGCTCTTCAAACAAGGTAACATCATTTTATTTTATCGCGCCGATGTACGCAAAGTAATGTTTTGTCAACTTTAATATAATGGAATCGCGTGGATGTACGCAAAGTAATTTTTTGTCAACTTTAAATCATTATGATTAAATTCGGCTATACTTTGCTGTCGACTGTCGCCAAATACATACACTAAAAATCATGTCTTTTATTAAAAATAAGGTAAGCTCTGGTAAGCTGCCACAGACAATCCTTCTAAATATTCTGTTATTGAGCCGTTAAGAATATTGAGAAACTTCTGTGCATTCAGGTTTCCGTCAATAAAAATGGGGCCGATTATTTGATCTTCGTGAATGCCTGCCTAAACATTAATGGAAAATCGGTATTGATGGGCTGATTCCCTAAATAAATGGCGATTCGTATGGCTCCAGTGACGCATGATTTGTCGGTTCCATATGCCGTTTCGAGTAAACGTGCTTTCATTTGTCCAAAACACATTTGTTAGGAAACGTTGGTCTTGAGACATTTTTTCCAGTACCCAGTGGCAGTAAGACTCTCTAATCGACTAATCACGGGGCAGCAGCGCCTGCACCTTAACATATTTATAAGGACGTAGTTTGTTCCTTTTCAGCACTCGGTGTATTGTTCTATGCCTCACTCTAAACACACGCCCAGCTTGTCTAAGGCTGCAGGTTGGATTCCGCTCGAAATGGTCAAAGACTCGTTGTTCGAACGAGGGTGTAAAATGACGGGGAGCAACTCCTTCATGAGTGTTAGACACTATGCGCTGATTTTCCCTGATTCTTTGAACAGCACCTAGTCTTGTCCGGACGCTAGTAGACAGACGCGAGTTGCGTCGTATCTCTCACGATAAGTAAGCAGAGTTAACGCTGAATTTTGGTGGCATTAGCCATACAATAAAACTATGTTTGTATACTCTGCCACACTGTAAAAATGCTGTTGTCTTGGCATTTTGCGCCAACAGACGCGTACACACAAAGGTCAAGTAGTGTGAATATTACGGTGAAAAAATAATAAAATAAACAAACTTAGGAACAATATTTACAAACATAAAGTCAATTAACTAATAAGTTTCCATTTCACTGTAAAAAAAATTGTTTGACTAATTGTATTTATCTTACGAAAAATAAATAACTTCGAGCAATGCGCGCAAGCAGCGAAACACACATACGAAAGTTCTAAATTCCAAAATGGCGAAAATAATAAAAGTAATAAATAGGGCGGCGGCCACAAGGTGCAATTATCGTTTATCGATACTTTTCTTTTTACACTTACTTACCTACTAAATTTGAATACAAGAAATTTTGATTTTTGATTTGATAACAATCGACAAGTTATTGATTGTTAAAAAAAAAGTTTATTTTTGTACAATTGAACTCACAAAACTAACGTTTTGTGACTTTCTAGGAAACGGGTAAGTAAGTATGACTTTTTTAATTGATTGTTTTATGGGTTTTTTATCATGTCAAAATAATTTATTATCTCTAAATTTACAAGAACACACTTAAACAAAAAAAACTTTAAGTTTAGCTTTAAATACTTAGGTCGTAGTGTTTTTAGAATTATCATAAGAACACGATAATTCTAAAAAAAAAACATGCCCTAAGTGTTTAAAGCTAAACATTTTTTTTTGTTTATCGATTATTATTCCCTTTGAAAGTAGCTAATCGTCGATAACAGGTGTGCTACTCTACGACACAAGCGCGCGCGCTCTTGCGGCGTTGCCTTTGAAGAACGTGCGTGCCTCGTGCCGCTTGTTTATGGACGCCGCCAAAAGACACCGCTGTTGATACGTCGCAATAGTTTGCACTGCGTGGCAACGTCGCTTTTTAATATTCAAGGATTCAAGTTCATTGAATCATTGACTTAGTGACCTAATTCTACAGAGTTCAAATTTGCTTCAAATTAAAACTCTACTTTTTGGCCTAATTACTGGACCGATTACGTTCATTTTTTGTATATCGTCAGCAAAGGCGATAACAAGTATGTGGTTTCATTTATTGCATATATGTGGGACCCCATTCTGTGTATATATATATTTTGTTCGCTCCAAACGCTAATTTCAAGAATCGCAGCGCGGGGGCGCTCAGCGCGGTGATTTCCTATCAGTTGACGTTTGCGCGAGACTGGATTGGTTGCTTGAGGGGCGGGTCGGAAGTGATTGAATGAAGTGCGGTCACTAGCACGACATCGTCGTCCGGTATAACCTCTATTTAGTGTCGGTTTTCTTAGCAAATTTATGCAACGATGAGGATTTTGTTGAGTCTAGAAACATAGACGCCGGGTCGATTAATTATATGGAATTTAATATTGATTGCGACCAACGTCCGGTTTTTTGATGCGTGTGGAATTTACTATTGGAGTTTTCGCTTCTAGTTTGGTTATCTTAGTGCGTTGACGCGACGACGAAGCAGTAATAATTTGATTGATTAACCTAAATTCGTTGGCAAGTAATTTACGTAAATTGTATAGTGATTGCCGGTTGAAGTGCTTGACAATAATACTTTGCGTCGAGTAGTTGCTTTGTGGCATTCGATGTAACTCGGAGATATTCTCCTGTGTCGGTTAAAACGCTAAAATTTGTTACCCGCGAGAAACAGTGTTCGTATTAGATTATAGATTTGTGCTAAGGAACTCTGAACGTTGTGACTCGAGAAGGGATCGCGTTTTTGCTCTTGGTTGTAATCTTGCCACGTGAAACGGAAGTGACCTTTGATCCACCCTTTCGTTATTCGTGCCGTGTGTTACGTTTTTGATTACGATTAACGGGGACTTAGTTGAGTTTGAATTTAATTAAATGTACAATAAAGTTGATGGATTGAAATAGTGTACAATAAAGTTGATAAACTGAAATATTGAAGTGACGTCGGACTTGAGGTCGGATGGGGTGAGCTGCCACCTTTGGAGAGAAGCAACGCTGGATCTAACGGTTGGGTCAGGTCAAACAGTATACACACTCCTATACACCACTTACACGCACCTACACCTACCTACGGCCTGACCGAGCCTTGGGGCGGTTTTAGCTTCGGATCCAGGTATGTACTATTTATTTACCTAGCCTTATCTCTATTGTGTAGGTCATTTCTCCATAGGCATTTGAGCCCCGTTCTTTGCTGCCCGTTGATTGGGCTACTGATGGGCCCTAGTCCAGTCTACCTTGTTTGGGGCAGCTCAGGGCGTGTACATATATATGTACATGTACACGTATTATGTAACCAATATCGGTAATGTTGCAGCTAAAAACTGAAAACGCTCATGCTTACAAACTATCGTGTCTGCAGAGTAAAATTACCGTGTTATAAGTATTAGTACCTTATATTTATAAGTTTGACTTCTTCAAAAGTTCCACTTTTTTTTCATAAATTGACGAAGTCATTTTTGTAATCATGTCTTTCGATGGTGTAATATTAATATAATTTCCACTTATGTGAAGATTGATTAGCCAGAGTATTTCCATTTATAGTTCTCATAATCAGTTTTTTTCTTCGTTTTTATGTCATTTACTTGACTGAACAGACTCTCACAAACAGCATTATAGTGGGACAAGGAGAGAAAGTTTACCATAAATTTAAAATTTAAATATATTTTCTCCACTTTAATCCGTCAGCTGAGCTATACGTGTCTTCTTTCTCTCTCTGTCTCTTCTTATATCCATGTCTTTAGTTAAGCCATGTCTTCATTTATCTCGGTATCAAATGATAATAATCCTTTACAGTACACTACTTCACAATATGTTGATGCGTAGTTTTTGGGAGATTTTGACTGCAACTTGAACCATAAGACAGTTGAAGTATCTGAAGGCGCCTGAGCAGACACCTTATCTTGAGATTTATATCACCATCGAAGCACTTGTTTCACCGTTTCCACTAATAGTTCTCATGAGCAGGTATTTAATACACAAAATCTCACCACTTTTACATATCGAAATCCATTTCAAAATATTATTTTAACAATTATACAGGAGCACCAATCCGCCGCCCGTCAAGACACCGCCAAAACCGCTCTTCTTCATCACAGATCTTAACTGTGACAATATATAATACTAAAGGCTCCAGTACACGTTGGCCGAGCGCGCTTGGCGAGCCCGCTGGCCGCAGCCCGGCCAACGTGTGATCGCTATTTGCGGCTTGCGCCAAATTTCTTTGATTTGTGCACGGAAAACCGACACTATACGGCTTGTCGGCGAGTGTTGGTTGCAAACGCCAAATACACACGAAAACGTTCGGCCAACGTGTACTGCTACCAAAGAGAATATAATCACTGCTACCTTAATATGTAGTGTTTATTTACTCTTTGACTGGGTACTCTAGAAACATACTCTGTGACAGTTGAGCGATGGTGGGTGGGTGAAATGTTAGGTTAGTTACAATTTACAATATGATTAAGATTTTATAAAATATACAATACAACAAACCTGCAGCAAAAATGAAATTTCATTATAAAATAGAATTGGCGCTGATAACTATAACCGCAATTCTTTGTATAGTATTACTTTTTAAACTTCTTCACAGGCTTCGGTAAGTTTCTTGTTATAGTAGATTAGGTTACGTACTTTCCCGCCTGATAAAAGATGTTAATTCTATTAAAAATTTGTTTTTAGGACCGCATTGCCATGGCGTGTAAATTGTTGGTTTTGTAACTGTAACATTTGGGTAAAGTTTCCAATTCGTAATTGTTGGATTTGTCCAAAATGTGAACAGTACAATGGATTCACTGAGGTATACTGATTTTCTAATTTTTCTTTTTTATCTTTGATATTATCGAATAATAATTACATAAATATTGTTTGGTAATTCTCTTATAGGAGAAACAAATTATATTTATGTATTTGTATTTAACATAAGAGCGACTGAGCGACGCACTATTAACTTAATTTTCTCACATCTTATATAGCAAATATAAGAAGGCACCACAATTTTAATTGCATGTTTTTTATAATATTAAAGTAAAATTTTTTTTTGTAGGGTTTGTTATATTTATTATTTTTTATAGGATGGTGATTACAACAGAGTGCTTAATGTCACCACTGAGCAAACATGCAAAATCCCAAAGGTTTTCCAAAAAAGTTCACCAAAGAATGGTCTATGTAAAATGTGTAACATAAATCAGCATCTCAAAGTGACACAGTTGGCTAATTTTGTTCCTATGAATGAAAAGAAGTTTGATGAGGAAATAGAATCATACAGGTAAGAAAATGTACTCTGCTATTACTAACAATTTGAGTAATTGTATTAAATAATTTATTAATTTAATATAAAAATTGGCTTAGGTTTCCATTGACTCCCGTTGAGTTGGGGGTTGATACATATTTTTACAGAAAAGTTACACTATTATAAGCACGCACACAAAGTTACAACATGCGGAAATGCGTAATTTTTGAGAAAAAAGTTATTGAAAATCATTTATTCTTGCATTGTTTATATCTAATCCTACCATAAAACTTAATATTAACTTTCGCGCTATATATTTTCTTCACCATTCGGTCTTCACTCATTCGCTCAATGTGCCCAAACCACCGAAGCACGCCCTTATCAATTTTTGTGATAAGGTCATCTTTCAAACCTGCCATATTGCGAATCTCTTCGTTTCGCTTTCGGTCGGCCATGGTAACGCCGCACTTTTACGAAGAGATCGCATCTCCACTGCATTCAACTTACTTTTATGCTTCTTCTGGCATACCCAGGTTTCGCTGCCATATAACAAAGTCGGTACCAACACTGCGTTATGTATTGCAAGGCGTGCACTCTTCGCTACGCCTTGCCTTTTGACTAACGCAGTCAGGGCACCATTGACTTTGTTCCCGGCAGCGACACGCCTGTCCACATCTAAATCACATCTTCCATCCCGGCTAAAAGCACTCCCCAAGTATACAATTTCATTTACCTGTTCTAGACATTCCTGATTTACCCATATTTCACACTTCGTTCTTTCTTCGTCCCTTTCAAATACCAGAACCTTAGTTTTATTAGCATTCAAACGGAGACCTTTAATTTCACATTCCTCTTTCATACACGTGACTAATGCCTGCAGTTCTGCCTCTGATGGTGCAATAAGCACTGCATCATCAGCAGACAATTTACTTTAATGTCACCCAATTTCACACCCAAACAGCTATCTTTCAGCTTTTGTAAACAGCTGTCGAGATACAGTATGAACAGCCAGGAAGACATGACACAACCCTGTTTTACGCCCGTTTGGACGCTAAACATGGGTGACAGGTCATGCCCTACCCGCACACAGGCTTTACAGTCACAGTAAAGAGACTGCACAGCCCTTAGCAATCGACCATCCACACCATACCCCGGCAACAGTTCCCACATTTTCTTCCTTACAACCTTATCAAATGCTTTCTCAAGATCCACAAAAGCACAGAAAATCTTCTGGTTAGCAGCCAGAAGCTTTTCTGTGATCATGCGGAGAGAAAACATTTGATCCGTGCATCCTCTTCCAGGTCTAAATCCGCATTGTGCCTCCCATAGAAATCTTTCCGATTTCTCTTGCATCCTACGTGTCAAAACCTTCGAGTAAACTTTACTTGCTAAACTGGTCTATATTAAATAGTTTCATTGCTTTTTAAAAATTAATATTTGTTTGTTCGTATTTTATGCACTGCCATACCGTACATCAGATTGTGGTAAAACTTTGTCAATTTATTGTTGGCACTTGCACAAAGGTTAGAGGCATAGTACAATTAACTTAGGTAACATAGGTAAAAAATTAACGTAGGTAATTACAGTAGGTATATAGCCTATAGTACCAACAAATTTATTTGAGTTATATATAAAAAAAGCAATTTGAAGGAAGTTATTATCATTCTTAAATAAACAATATAACTTTTCCAAATTTGAAACACTATTTCCACAAATATTTCGTCTGTAGCAGCAACGAGCCAGGTACCAGCTAGTTTTAAATAAATAAATATGTCAATTTTTAATAGGTATGATCGGTCCGAGCAGCAGTTGTCTCTAGCTTGATTGTACGGGCACAGTGCAACAGCAATAGATAGTTTATAACCTTTTAAAAATTTTTGGGCACAAATATCCTCTTAAACTAACCAATGGTAATTTTTTTTCTTTAGATGACCACTCAAACATCCTTGGCAACATAAGTTAAACACAGAACTTACACCATCTAAAAGATCCATCTATAGGAGCTTAGACTAGTCATGTAGCTTCTCCTTCTTAGCCACTGTAGATGAACCCAGTGATTTTTATTTTGAAATCCAAATAATTTTCAAAGCAGCTTAATAATATAGACATAATATTTTTTTCAGATTGCAGTTAGAAAAGGCATACAAATTGTGTAGTCCTTGTAAAAAAGTACTTCAAACAAAGCTCCATAAAGAAAAGGAAACATTTTTGGGTTCTAAATTATTAGAAACAAGGACACCAGAGAAGAAACAGCAAAAGCAGCTAGAAAAACAGAGTCAAATTTTAAGAAATCTCATAAACGGGTCTTCCACATTGATAGCAGGAATACTCTTTGTACTAGTTGCATTTGAGTTCTTAAGTAATATAGAGAAACACAAGAACTTATTAAATACAGTGTACAATATTAGAAATATATTACTTGGTCTTTTTGAAAGAATAATTACTATAGTTAAAATGAAGACATTTATGACATTCCCTTCTTTAGAAAGTAATTTCTATGACATGCATAATATAGAAAATATGGACATGTTTAAAAATTTTAATACAGGATACTTGAATAGTGTTAATGACCTGACACAGAAAGCTTTAGGAGGCTTTGTATGTTTTATACAAATTGTAGGACATGTTTGGAATATAAACAAACTAAATTATAGTATAGTAGTTGACTTATTGTGGTCAGTATTTGCAGCCACATCCATAGCCCATAATTCAGTTACTCTGGAGCCTATTTTGATGACCAGTGTCAAGGTAAGTGTGTAAATTGAAATACAAACATTATTCATTATTTTGTATTTGTTTTAAATTTATTTTTGTTTCAGTTGTCGAGCATATTGGGACTTATGTTAGTTTATAGAAAAATGCAAACAAAGACTGTTAGAACAACATTAAAGATACAATTAACACCAAAAAAAGTTAAAAATCTTGCAAATGGAACAATGAATTCCTTAAGTGATGATGAAGATAATCTGTCCCTTGACACTGATGATGATGTGTCTCTTAGTAAATTTGGCTTGCACAACTTCACAGATTCGTCCAATGAGACTCTTAGACCATTAAGTAATAGTTTAAACAATGGTAGATCGTTCACTCCACGCACAGAAAGTGTTTGGGGCAAACCAAAACTGAATTCAACATTTTGTGTAAATTCTGTAATAGCTAAAAGTCCAAGCTCTGTATCTGAAACAGTGTTTAGAAAACCATCTTTTAATAAATATCAGAACTTGGTAAAAAGTGATTCAGATTCAGAGTTAGATGAGAGCATAAGTACCTTATCTATAGGTCCTAAGAACAGAAATGTGACGAAAAACCCAGTGTTTGGTATTCGTAAATTCAATGCTACACCCAGTTTTATAACTCCAACACCTCTAGGTCGTACTCGACCACTTATATCACCAAGTAAATTAGGTCATAGCACATCTTGGGTTGCTGGAGGGTACTGGGGCTCTGAGGGCGAGCGGCAGATATTTAGCATAAATGGCAGCCGTTCCTCTAGTCAGAGTTCGGGGTTTGAATCACAAACTTCTAGTATGAATCAGCGTAATCTGTTCTCTCAACCTTCATCACGCGAGGATTCCATATGCGGGGAGCCTGATAGAAATTCCCTTCTACTGGACCGTTTTCAGAATTGCAGTACAAGCAATTATTGCTTCCAGAACGCTTCCAACTTCACTCCAATAAGTTCACCCGTCTTCCCTCAAATGCAGTTTAACAGCCACGTACAAATACCTCAGCCAAGATTAGCTCAGCAGACCTTTGTATCGCAGAATGTCTTCACACAGCCGCAACCCTTCACTCAAAACAGTATGTTTAAAACCCCTGGTGGGTCTGGACTGATAAAATTGCCTCAGGACAATTCTTTCACATTGCGTTAATGTTCCGATGCTAGACATCTTAACTTGTACTAATTTCGACTAACAATTTTATTTTTACTTCAATCGACTTAACTAAAACTTCATGAACTGCCATTACATTAAGTATCCTATTAAGTTATCACACGCATTAGTTTGTAAGTGGTTATAAATTGTTTGAATGTAGAGTTAAGATTATGATCTCGTGTTGGTGCCAGGTGGCGGATATATGGAAGCATTAAGAATTATTATATTGTTACAATTTTTTATATGGACGTCACTGTCCTTATCTCGAACAAAATGTGATATTTAAAGACTAATGATATTTTTCAAAAAAACGAAAATGATTCTTGATGTTATCATGATTTCCTCTTCTGTTTTGATTTTGTCATCTTGAAACAGAATGTTTTTGTGAAACTCCTGTAATAAAAATGTATAAAATGTAATTATGTTTTTATTTTCAGTAATTTACTAACTAATCTTACGGCTATTAATTAAAACTAATATTTAGTTATTTGTTATTGTGTACCAAATACAGAATAGAGGGCATAAATACAGTATCATAAAATCAAGTTTCAGCATAACATACCATTTTGAAAACTATAGAATAGACGTATCACATTATTTTCACATGTTCCAGGTTATCTGCGAGCATTGAGTTATTTGTACTACGTACTAGAGAAGCCTTTCTAAACAAAAAATGTGTACTGTGATTTAAGCGCGTTGCGCCTGCGCGATCAGTTTATACCTAGTCAGGTCATAAATTCTGTCACGTTTAATATAAAATAATTGAAACAAGTTTATTCATTATGTAACCATTTATATACCAAAATGAACTTAACAAAACATAGATTCTTATGACACTAAAGTTAATTCAAAATGACCTCCGTGATTTTGAATACAGGCCTTCAATCTGCGCGGCCAGTCGTCTATCGCAGCACGAACGAGGTCCATGTCAATATCGGCGGCTGCCTTAATCAAGGATGTCTTGAGTGACTCCAAATTGGGATGAGGCTTTGAGCACGCCTTTTCCTCCCAAGTGTTGCCATATCTTGTAATCTAACGGATTCAAATCTGGACTGGAGGAGGGCCAGTCTTTATGCCGGATGAAGTCGATTTCACGCGCCGCCAGCCAGTCTTGTGTGCTCTTCGCTCTATGAGCTGGCGCCGAATCTTGTTGGAATACCCAGTGCCTGTTATTGAACATGGTATGAGAAACAGGTTCCACATTCGTATTTACACCTTTCTCACAAAAATGCCCCAATAAGAAACTCCCATCCATACCATGAGCGAGGATGGAAAATGACCTCGTTGGACACGCGGAATACGGTTGCTCGCTTCTTCACTACTGTGTGCGTACACCATATCATTTTGTTTGTTGTAGCTCTCTTCTACGGTAAAAATTTTTTCATCCGAAAAAAGAATTTCCCGATATTTTTTTCCGCGTACCGCTTCAACAAAGCGCGGCATCTCTTCAGTCTCAGATCGGATTAGACGAGCATTCAAACGATGTCCTGTTTTTCTTCGATATGCCCGAAGCCCTAAGTCTTCATTTAACACCCTTTTCACCGTGGTTCTGCTTAACCCCATCTGAAGGGCTAACAGTTTCTGCTTACGTTTGGGATTTCTTTGAATTCGCGCCTTCACACCTTTTATCACTGCTGGAGTCCTAACAGACCGAGGGCGACCACTTCTTGACCTGTCATCTACACTAGAGTCTTCATTGTATCGTTTGATGGTACGATAAACGAATCTTTTGGTTATATTCAAATTTTTCAGTATGTCAAAAATTTGAATTGGCGCGTAACCGCAACGATGCAACGCAATAACTGCAACACGGTCTTCTTTAAGCGTCCATTCCATATTTAAAAATGAATAAAATTCTAAAAAGTATACAGTTTTATTTTCATGAACAATTCGAAATTCGAATTCAATAAACTATTTTGTGGCCAGCATTCTAAAAGAAAAGTTTTTACTGTGTGACAATACTTATGACCTGACTAGGTATAAAGAAATATATTTTTTCATGATTTTTTCTTTTGTAATATTACGATATTATTACCTATTTATTCACTTGAACAACAAATAATTTTACTTACTTGACTTGTTATTTTACGTTCAGGTTTAATGTTTAATTTGAAATCTTGTATTATTAGCGCCGTTCCACACTACCTGAATATTGGAACCACAGACTAACTAGTAGATTGAAACCAGAAACCACACTAAATGACACACTGTACGGATTGCAGTACAGTTCAGTTGAACTTAGTGTATGTTCGGAATGCGCAATCTAGTACGTAGTACATATAATATATCGATGGCTGCGAGAGAATGATAAAAGGAATTTAGTCCGCCCTTTGTAATCCCTTTTAGATGTTTTACAATAAAGTATATATAAATAATAATTTGTGTAGAAAATTGATGTAATTTTAATTACAAATTTGAGAGGCCGAGAGAGGGTCGACAAAAGCAGAATACGAAAATATCTTATATCACGACAATGCACGGTCCCAAGTCACCTGCATCCATCAACTTCCTTGTCCTTCAAATCGTACCGGGTGGTCACTCTATCTAGTGGGCGGCCGCCATACTCTTCGCTCACCGGTACGAGGCAGCCACTTTAGAATCTATCACCATCAGTTGTCAGTTCGTCTAGCTATATGGCTGGCCAATCTATATCCATAGATTACAGTTCTTCAAAAAAAACTTACGAATTTCGCGCTTTACGATCAGGCCCCTGCAAATACTGCGATGGTAGGGGAGGAGCGTAGGTGTCTTCATAAAGAGTCGACATATAGTCTGATACATCACCGCAAGCCCACTCGTGTTCCAGATATTTTTTAAGACCCCACTCCGTGATGTTACCCTGTGGAGGATTATAACTCGTGAAGAAATCCTATAAAAGCATTTCTATACACAGGTTTATGGCAGTCAACGTAATCATACATAAACGCTCAGATCATCTCTCTTCAATTAAAATCAAAATCAAAGCATAAATCAAAATGCAAGTGTACAAACTCCTTCCTACTGCAGTCGGAACACAATAGTTTAGCTCTACCATATAAGATTATAAAATGCCTCAATTCGCTAGTAATTTTGTTGACTCCTACTTCTAACCGGAACACAGTATTTAGTCTTGCTTGTTATTGTTTTTGAAAACGTTACCCCCGCACTAGGATTTTTTCCTGTGTCGTTGCGGCAGATTACCGGAAACACACTCGGAACAATTTTATCTAGGCCTTACAAATACTTGCTCAATGTGGGAGTAGTGCCCGTGGCTCTTAGTACAGTAACTTAACTAAAATAAAATACTAAGTTACTGCGCAACGAAACCGTCAAAAATTATTAAATACCGATTGTTTTACTAGGCGGTGAGGCTGCTTTTCTGCCTACGAGTTGGGGTACCTGCCACACACACACAGGCATATATGTATATATATATATATATATTAAAATTAAAAATCCATTTGTTTCTTTCTCAAGGCATACTAAATAATAAAGTAATTGGAGCCTCCTAGTTAAGTATAAAAGAATACCTGTGTCAGGAGGCACCGCGCTTTTTTTTTTACTTCTTTTAAGCCAGTGCTTGACCACAATCCCACCTGGTGGTAAGTGGTGATGCAGCCTTAGATGGTAAATCGCACTGTCTTATCGTAACAAAAGCCTATTCACTCTTGCCTTGAAGACGCCTAGATTGTATTCGGACGGAAAGATAGACGCCGGCAAATTATTCCACTCATTTGCTGTACGCATTACAAAAGACGAAGCAAACCGTTTGGTTCTAATGCGTGGCATATCGACAACAAAGGGATGAAGACCCGCCGACCGTCTGGTTGTCCGATGGTGGAAAGGAGAGGGAGGAATTAAGGCGTGTAATTCCTGCGCACACTCACCGAAATGCATCCTATAGAATACCGAGAGACTGGCTACTCTGCGCCTGTACTCGAGGCTGACACGATTGGTTTCAACCAAATCAAGGTCACCAATGAGCCTCTTAGCATGTTTCTCCACTGAGTCCAATGCTGCCAGGTGGCATTTTGCAGCATCAGCCCATATGTGACAGCAGTACTCCATGCACGACCGGACTTGCGCTTTATATAAGGTAAGAAGCTGCCCCGGCGTGAAGTACCGCCGCACCCTTGCAAGGACACCAAGATTCCTTGCGGCTGCTTTGACTCTCGACTCAATGAACCGCCCATAGTTTAGGTTCGGAGAAAATTCAATCCCTAACAACTGAAGGCGGTCAGTGTACTCCAAGGATACATTTCGGAAAGTAGGAGCCAAGGTGAGCGGACTCCTTTTAGCGGTAAAGAGACACGCTTGTGTTTTGGAGGCGTTAAATCTCACGAGATTGGCATCGCCCCATTCGGAGACTGCCTGTAGTGTGAGACACGCTCAACCATAGCCTCTCTTTCTTACTGGATTTGATCCCGACTGGCCCGGGCGTTTGGTTGGTATCTCTCCACAACTGTGCTGTCGTCTGCATACCCATAGACAGCGGAAATGAGCAGATCATTTATATGCAGCAGGAAGAGTGTTGCAGAGAAAACGGACCCCTGAGGAACACCGGCGTTAGTCGCCACAGTATTGGATGAGCAGCCATCAACGACGACCCGGAGAGACCGTTCACTCAGAAAGTCCTTCACCCAGACAATTAGGCCAGGGGATAAGCCGTACGCTGAAAGCTTGCCCAATAGACTAGCGTGCCAAACCCTGTCAAAAGCCTTTGAAACAGGGAGGGAAACAGCAAGTGCTTCACCACTGTTCTCGAGGGCTTCGCCCCATATGTGAGTGGCATACGCTAGAAGCTCCCCAGTTGATCGATTTCGGCGAAGCCCGTACTGGCGATCACTGAGGAGATCATTTTGCTCTAGGTATGCCATGAGGTGGGCATTCAATATACGCTCCATAATCTTGCAGAGTATGGAGGTAATTGAAATTGGCCGATAGTTGGCAGGGTCGGTACGGCTACCTTTTTTAGGCACAGACTGCACATTGGCCAGCTTCCAAGATTTAGGCACTATTCCAGTCCTGAATGAGAGGCGGAACAAGCGTGTCAACACAGGAGACAACTCAGGTGCACAGACCTTTAGAACTATAGCTGGTATACCATCAGGTCCACTAGCTTTGTTCACGTCTAGACTTCGCAAAGATTTAAGAACCTCCTTGTTGGTGATACGGACCTCAGACATAGAGGTACCGCAGTGAGGTAAATGAGATGGTACGCTGTTGCTACTGTCCAGACGCGAATTGCAAGCAAAAAGAGAAGCAAATAAGTCCGCTTTCTCCTAAGGCGCATGCGCCAGTGAGCCATCTGGTTTTACCAGCGGAGGCAGCGTAGACCGACAGAAGTTTGTCTCGACCGGTTTGGCGAGAGACCAAAAAGCTCTACTGCCAGATGGTTTAACAGAGAGCTTTGTGCAGATGTGTTTAATGCGGTCGAAACTGCCTTGGCGTAATGCCTTATTTGCACGACTTGGCGGCTTGGTTAAAGGCTCTCTTCTTAAGGCTAACATTCGGAGCTTTACGGTCTCAAGCATCGACCCAAGATAAATACGCCATATGCTTGTGCTTTTCAGCACGAGCGCACTCAGCGTTAAACCAAGGGCGAGCTTTACCACCAATGGGCACGTCAGCAAAAGGGATGAAATACTCCATAGCTTGACGTATCACATTGGTTATGGCATCCGCGCAGCTTGATGGGTCCCCAGAGGAGAAGCAGACCTGCCGCCAATGATAAGATGCAAAGAAATGCCGCATCTCATCCCAATCTGCTGACTTGTATCGCCACATTCGTCGCACTCCGTGGAAATCGTAGTTAGGTGGGGAATATAACGACACAGATTTCACCAGACAGTGGCCAGAAGTTCTCAAGGGTGAGGTAACCTGAACATCGTACCTGTCTGGATCGGTACTCAGCAGAAGGTCGAGGCAGTTGGCTGTATGCCCATCCACATCAGGTAGCCTAGTCGCTTGTTGTACCAGCTGGGAGAGCCCCAGCGACAAGGCAAAATTCCACGCCTCTCTCCCAGCGTGGTCGGTCTTCTGGTATGGGAACAGCCAGTCCTGATGACAGGCATTAAAGTCCCCCGAAAAGCCCCCTGGTCGCCGCTGTGCGATCGGTAGACACAAGAATAAATAATTTTATCCATTCCTGTGTCTATCAATACCCAGATCGTAGAGAAAGTGGGGTTTTCAAGGTGACGGAGACGCTTACAGCAGATGTCGTTGCGGACGTAAACACAGACTCCGGCGCGCTGATGGAAATTATGCTCCAATGTGTACCCAGGGTAGCCATGGTACGCCGCATCTAGAGGACATCTGATCTGCGTCTCAGTCAAGAAGAGTAAGTGCGGCTTGTCAGTCTCAAAGTGGTAATGGAATGCATTGAGATTACAGTGCAGGCCTCGGATATTTGCGAGGTGCACTTTAATGGGAGGGAGTGCAACCGCTGTACAAACTTACTATTATTTTTCCTTTTTTTCATTAATGGTGGGAGTGAATACGTTGAGAGAATGGCAGTTGGACGAGACGTCACACATATAACCTAGGGACGCAAACAGAGTCATAGCATCGATGGTACCTAACATGGAGATCGCGGGGACGCCCGAACCCCCCTGGAAATTGCCACCAGGCCCTCTCCTCCGGTCGCCAACCGGCATAGTGGAGCCATCCCAGGATTTTTCGTAAGATGGCGGGGCAGCCTTTCATGAGTGGCTGGTTCATTAATTGGGCCCCCAACTATCTACGGTCGGCCAGCGGTGCAACCGTGCTTCGGATCCCGCTAACCTCCATAACCAGGCACCTGACACTAAGAAACGGCCGCGTCGCAACCGGTCCGTATGCGTAGCGCAACTGTCCAGACCCATTCTCCCTAAGAAATAGGTTTCACCTAACATCATACCGGAACACGATTTGCATCATTTTGCGGTATGTCTTTGCCAGGTGGGTGGTAACTAACCCTCGGCCGGGCCTCTCACTAGTAGAGGACCAGCCTACCACCAGTATGTAGTACTGCTCGTGTGTGTGTGTGTGTGTGTGTGTGTGTGTGTGTGTGTGTGTGTGTGTGTGTGTGTGTGTGTGTGTGTGTGTGTGTGTGTGTGTGTGTGTGTGTGTGTGTATGTATAGGTGTGAGTGTGCGCGTGTGAGTGTGATTGTAGGTGCTTAAAAGTGTAAGCATTTTTATTATTATTATTTTATGTTATTTTATTCTATTCTATTCTGATAAACAAATATATTATTTAATTCCGTGACGTAGAATGTTTTCTGTGGGGTGATAATTTTTTAAGATGATCGGTAAGTATTTTTTTACATTCGCGATAATTAAGCCGGTGAAAGTTTAATTTTTTATTTAAGTAATTATACATAATATTAATATTTTTTATTTCTGGCTGTGCGCAGATTATAGTGCACGAGTGTCCGATGGGACACCAAACACAATCGGAGAGAGATCAGGCGCAGTACCAACGGTTTTACTGACCTTTCAATATTATCATCATAATTAAAGTCCATCACAAACTAGTATAATTAGGTTACATTGGACGGCCCTGAGCGGTCTGTACATACATATATTTCCCTGACCAACTATTATACCTCCTAACAGATAAGATAAACTGAAGCTACACTCTACGTCTCGTGACACATAGCAAATATTCAAACGATGGCTAAACTGATACATATTAAAAGTATCTACTTGATTGCGATTGTAAAATGCTATGTATTAAATATACCTATATGGTTTTGTTTTTATAGAAAAGCGGGCAAAGGAGCTTGCGGCTCACCTGATGGTAAGTGTCGACCGCCGCCCATGAACAACTGCAACATCAGGGGAATAGAAGGTGCGTTGCCGGCCTTTTAAAAAAAAAGTAGACTCTTTTCTTGAAAGTCCCTAAGTAGTATCGGTTCGAAAAAATTGCTAGTGGTAGTCGAGTCCACAAGGAAGGAAGAAAACTTCTTGTAAATCGCACGGTGGGACCGCCAATAATCCAGATAGAATGGATGGTTCATTCCTCATCAGGAGCATTCCTCATGGTAGATGCAATAAAATACGTAAAGAGATGCAACACCTCTTCGCAGTACCAGTGAGTCAAGCTGATCAGAAAGAGTTGCAAGCGGTGCACCGGAATGAAATACTGTCTCGCTCTGCTGAGCACGCCAAGCTTTTTAGAGGCCAACTTGGCCTTCTCTTCCAAGTGACCACGAAACTACACGTCAGTTCATATGTTGACGTCGAGGATTCCGATACTGGTTGAGGCAACAAGGGGATTGCCCTGAAACTGAGGAGATACTACAAAGGGGTTTTTTTAGCGGTAAAAACGTGTGTCTTCTTGGGATTGAACTGGACTAACTTAATCGCACCCAATCCGAGACTTGACGACTTCCAGCCTCCCGAACAAGCCGGTTTCCGAAAGGGCTTTAGCACCATAGACCACATACAAACCCTTCGGCAAGTTGTACAGAAGTCCGAGGAGTACAATTTGCCACTATGCCTGGCGTATGTGGACTATGAGAAAGCCTTGCGGTGCTGCAGTGCTGCAGTCCCTTCAGCGGTGCCAAGTTGACTGTCGGTATATCGAAGTGCTGAAGTGCTTGTACAGTAGAGCTACGATGGCTATCCGAGTACAGAATCAGAGTACGTAACCTATCCAATTGCAGAGAGGTGTAAGACAGGGTGACGTTATATCCCCGAAACTCTTCACCGCTGCATTGGAAGACGTTTTCAAGCTTCTGGACTGGAAAGGATACGGTATTAACATCAATGGCGAGTACATCACTCACCTTCGATTTGCCGACGATATAGTCCTTATGGCAGAATCGCTGAAGGACCTAAGCACTATGCTCAATGACCTCAATAGTGTCTCCCAACGGATAGGTCTTAAGATGAACATGGACAAACAAAGATTATGTTTAATGTCCATGTCACACTTATGCCGGTAGTTGTTGGGAGCACTATGCTCGAAGTTGTTGACGAGTATGTTTACCTGGGACAAATAGTCCGACTAGGTAAGTCCAACTTCGATCGAGATGTCAATCGACGGATTCAACTCGGCTGGGCAGCGTTCGGGACACATCTTCTCGTCAGACATACCTTAAAACCTTAAAACGAAATTGTACAACCAGTGCGTGTTGCCAGTGATGACTTACCGATCTGAGACGTGGTCCTTCACTGCTGGCCATATGAGGAAGCTCAAGGTCGCTCAGCGAGCTATGGAGAGGGCTATGCTCGGAGTTTCTCTGCGTGATAAACTTAAGAATGAGGATATCCGCAGTAGAACCAGAGTAACCGACATAGCCCAACGGATTAGTAATCTGAAGTGGCAGTGGGCCGGCCATATAGCTCGAAGAACCGACAACCGATGGGCAAGAAAGGTTCTTGAGTGGCAGCCTCGTACCGGTATGCGAAGTGTAGGGCGACCCCCCACGAGATGGAGTGACGATCTGGAAAGACATGCAGGAAGTCGATGGATGCAGGTGGCTCAGGACCGTGCTTTGTGGCATTCCTTGGGGGAGGCCTATGTTCAGCAGTGGACTTATGAAAGGCTGTAATGATGATGATGATGAATCCGAGACTGTTCAAAAAAGTCTCGACTTCAGATATACCGGTACTCGGCGACGTTTTACCGAGAAATATTGACACGGCCGGTGTATAAAGCATCACCAGTGACAGCACTAGCACTGGCAACACTCCGCATAGTAATGAATGTTACCCGTTTGCACCATATCATTGATATGCAACCTTGATATGAAACAGCCTTGTGGAACACCAGCATTAATCGGCTTGTAATGGGAACATGCCCCTTGAACTTTGACCTTGATGCTCCGATCTGCGAGAAAAATGGTGATCCAATTGCACAATTTCTCAGGAAGCCCATAGGAAGTAAGCTGTCTTCCATGATTTCGAGACTAATACGTCTAGGGAGTAGGACTGAAAAGGACGCGTTAAAACCAGTGCCAACTGTAGATCATACGTCTTCACGGATAGTGTGGCAGGGGTTGTCTTTGTCTTATTGCTCCGTTTGCCCCTAGCAGTTTTAATCGCTAGTGGAATACGCGGGACAGTCTGAGCACCCACGATCAGGAAGAGTACGGTAGCTTGGGCATGAATGCTCAGCGAAGGGTCGTCACCAAGGGTACTAGTACCCTCCTATAGTGTTTTATTTAACTCCTCTACTATATTATAGGGGAGGGGGGGGGGGATTGGGCCTGCGGCCACCTACACTTACCAGGCGAAACGCAGAAGTAAACTTCTATTTCACGCTGGTATTCTGTGAGGTCGTAGTTCCACCCCGGTTCGAGCCGGCCCACCCGTGCGACAGCAAATGCTGCCGCGTGGCTCTACCACTGTTAATTGATATGTAATTAATTCTCCAATCACATTATCATCTCCGCTGATTTCCTTGAAATTGTTAAGTGCAATAGCCTATTACTTTCGTACCCTTTAATTGAAAAAGATAAATTAAGAGTTGACATACAAAACATTGCATCAAGTCAGGTTGTGGGTAGAACTGATGCGCACTTCTCTTATAGTGGCGTTGAATGGGACCACAAAGAGATTTCGGAAGATGATTATAGACCAAATCGTTGGTGGTGACGAAGTTACCGCATGCGTCATGACTGTTGTGGCGGATCACTGACTCCAAGTTACCCTGCAAAAGAGTTGATTTAAATTTATGAAATGAGCAGCAAAGAATATATTATTAATATTATTTAACATGTTACGCTGCAGGTAGGCTCGACTGGGGTAGGACCACGCTCTCACAGAATACAAACGTAAAATAGCATTTTAATGATCTAGCTATTTTTCGTATGATGAGTGTAGAGGATTTGATATGTACCTGTAGCCGGTGGAAGGAAAAGGGGAGATCTCGCGCCGGGCAAGGTGTTCTGCCCGGGGAGCGGCTAACGCTCCGAGTGGTAGTTCGGAGCTATTCTATATACTGCTTTAACTTCGGAACTTAGTTAGCGCGATTTAGGCTTCGATGTGTTTCGCTTGTGGCGCGACGACAGCGCCGCCACATCACCCCCCCGCTCAGACCGGAGGTCGATAGTGCAGTTCGATTGCCGATGCGTCCTTAATGCCGGTGGGGAACGCATGCTGTGTGCGTAAGGCCAAGTGACGCCGGTGCGAAAGATATGCCGGTGTGTAATGCATGCCGTACTACGCACTTGCAAGTGATGCCGGTGAGCCGGAGCAAGTGCCAGAGATTGCCTTGTAGTCTGCGGTGAGTCGAGAAGAAGGCAAGTAATCTGCGAGAGTGCCGTGAAGCAGAGGCGAGCAGTAAGGCTCGGAGCCGTGCCGAACAATGTAGCGCAGAGAATAGCTTGAAGGAACAGGAAGCATTATTATTCCAGTGCTGCAATGAACCTTTGTAAAGCTAGATGGCTTGCAGAATGTGAAGACTGCAGATAATATCTGCTCGGGAGCGAATGAATGGGGTACTTGAGGATGATGACGGTTTGAAGGTGTAGTTTCCGAAGGTTTGTTAACCAACAATAAAAGAGCATGCACCCGACACCCGACGTGATATAAACACGCAACCGCGTGTTTATATCACGTCGGGTGGTCACCAATGTGGCGGGTGGAAGGAAAAGGGGAGATCTCCCGCCGGGAAAGGTGTTCTGCCCGGGGAGCGGCCAACGCTCCTAGTGGTAGTTCGGAGCCATTCTATATATACTGCTTTTAACTACGGAACTAAGCGCGATTTAGGCTTCGATGTGTTTTTGCTTGTGGCGCGACGGCAGCGCCGCCACATACCCTTTCTATTGGTAACGAGATATTCTGTCTTAGTCCGCCACAGCATCCACTTTCTATCAGGTAGACTGTGTGCTTGTTTGTCACCTTTATTCTACATTTTTTTTTAAATAAAACTCGAATGATTATGCTTACACATAAACATTTTTTGTCATTCAAGTTTGTATCAACTGACACAAAATAATGTACCTATGTATTTACCATGAAGTAATAAGAACTTATAGTACCTATTTACTTTGTTTACGTTTGTACCAGAGTATTTATTTTTATATTTTTATTAAACATTTTGAAGTAGAAGTTATTGATTTTTGGTTTTGAATTTAAAATAATTTTAGTGTCTGATTTTGCATCAAAGATTGATGGAGGCCATCAATCTTAAACAATGCCTAGATGGGGAAAAGAAAAGTGCTAAAATAGTTTACATGTTCGCTATTTTAGTACAATCGTAAGTAAACAATATATAATCCCAGAATATGAAAAGTACTGCTTGGTGGTAAAGGAAAAGATCGCGAGGTTTCCCCTCGCGCTCTGCATGTTTATGAAACTAAAAAGGAAAAGGCTGTGTTCCTCACTCCGAAACCCTCCCAGAAATTAAGTTGCATATGCCCAACAGTAGGATTTATGGAGGCTATTACTTTATGTTAGATACTCCAGTGGATTGTTACAGGTGATGAGTGTACAGAGATAAGCTTGGACACACTTGTAAAGAAGGGTCTGAACAAAGGGGTAGTTTAATGATTAGGTAAGTAATAGTTACAAAAGAAGAGGTCAAACCTGCCAACTATTTAGTTTGTTAATCCGAAAATCCGATTGCCTTAATTCTGGTTTTAGCTTGTCATACTCAATATTAATTTCAGGTGGGAAGTACAATGTTCCGCCTTTCGGGCATTCTATTCTATCTTCAACCCAATTGCCTGAAGTCATAAAGCTTTTAAAAAATGTAATATAAATATAAAAGTTTTCCAAATGTGTAAGTGGTTGCTGCGGCCCATAGACATCTACATCTATCCTCTATTACAAATCAAAATGCAGATGCGTTGTCACCCGTGAGGACTAAGATGGAATGCCTCATTTCCAGTAAAAAGGGCCTCCGGCCACCTACACTCACCAAGCGAAACGCAGAGGTAAACCTCTACTTCACGCTGGTATTCTGTGAGGTCGTGGTACTACCCCGGTTCGAGCCGGCTCAAAAAATTTATAGGTAACATAACAGCTCTAAGGTTTTTTCGCTCATATATTATCAAGGCACTTTATTGAATTAGGCCTATAACTGGTCGACTTCGTTATGCTCACCAGTCATTCCTTCCATCTTCCATAATGACTTTTGATAGGCTAAGCCAGGTAAAATGGTACTGAGTTGGTAAATTTTTAACTAGGTACCTAGTAAAACTCCGGGACTGTACACAGGTCCTGGTTTTAATGCTTTAGATATCGCTTCAGAACGCGTGGGAGATTTGGCTCTTGTACTTATTGCAGCCATTGGTAAACTAAGTAAACTATTACTTTAAAAATGTTGTACAAAATACTGTTATTATTAAAATTTTACATAGCAAACGTCACAAATCACAATGTCATATTGAAAATGTCTTTTTAGTTTTTTTTTTTAAATAGAGGTCAGTGGTTTTGAAATAACAAAAGAACTTATTAGAGTAATAACATGTAAGTACCTAACATATAAAATTCTTTTTGATTCTTTGAAGTCTGCTTTCACTAACTTTTTATTAAAAGTTTTGAGTTTTGACCCCGAGGGGACCGAAACGGTTAATTGCGATTTGTAAGTTTCAAATGTTACTTTACACATTTTTAAAAACTAACAAATCGAATTTGACCGTCCCATATTGTATCGACAAGCTTCGATCTGTTGTGTTCGCATCAATGAGTCATATTCATTTAATATGTAGTTATGAACAATGGCACACGTGACCGTTTCGGGAACCCTGAATTATCACAAGCTTGAATATCGTCTAAATAATTTCAAACTTCATCCCCTATTTTTCAATCCTTAGGGATGGGATATTTTCTTACCTGAAATATAACCTATTAAATAAATAAAAAAATCATTGAAATCCGTTCACAGTTATTGTCGAAGACATCGCGTAACCAAAGGCTTCTACGTAGCCCAAGTAGTACAAGAGGCTGCTTATCAGCTGAATAACGGATTTCCATCACGGTTAAAGCTGAATAAAAAAGCTGCATAAAGGCTGTGTAGGGCCTTATACAGCACTTATAACTCTAAAATGGGCACAAATTAAGCAGCCTTAAGTTCACATAGCTGCTTAGGAGCTATGTACCAGTAATTTAACAGTGTTATAAAGGGTAACGGCAGTACTACATGCTGAATATCGACTGACTAAGAGATCACAAGTTACTCTTTATTCAGAAAATATGTCACATGTGTTCTTAATACATGTTTTAAACCGGGAAAGGCTGCTTGCTACCATGTATGTAAAAGTGAACATATATTTGAAGCAAATATAACCCTTAGCTGCCAATTGAACACTTGTTACGTGAAGTGAATTATACGTGGATAATATTCATATTCCCTGGTAAGTACATTGTTTTACATATTAATAAAATAAAAATGATTGGGAATGTAATTTTACTGACATTATACATATATATTATCTAAGAAAATTTTAGTGCGCCACGAAAATATTCTGTTCTTAATCAGTTTTGTTATAAAAATAAGCCGTGATGAAAACTTGAATAAACAATTTTTAGTGCTTTGAAAAGAATTATTATTATTTATTATCTTCACGCACAATCCCTGACGGGGTATCCAGAGAGAACAGATCGCCAAGTGTCACGATCCTTACATATCTCTTTCGCTTCTTTCAGATTCATTATCTTCTTCATACATGCACGTCTAGGTATCCGAGTACTCTTGACCCTACCCTCTTCGAGCAATTTGCTCACATGGTCTTCGAAAGTTAGTCTCGGTCTACCTCGACACCTTTTAATATTAACTTTCGCGCTATATATTTTCTTCACCATTCGGTCTTCACTCATTCGCTCAACGTGCCCAAACCACCGAAGCACGCCCTTATCAATTTTTGTGATAAGGTCATCTTTCAAACCTGCCATATTGCGAATCTCTTCGTTTCGCTTTCGGTCGGCCATAGTAACGCCGCACATTTTACGAAGAGATCGCATCTCCACTGCATTGAACTTACTTTTATGCTTCTTCTGGCATACCCAGGTTTCGCTGCCATATAAAAAAGTCGGTACCAACACTGCGTTATGTATTGCAAGGCGTGCACTCTTCGCTACGCCTTGCCTTTTGACTAACGCAGTCAGGGCACCATTGACTTTGTTCCCGGCAGCGACACGCCTGTCCACATCTAAATCACATCTTCCATCCCGGCTAAAAGCACTCCCCAAGTATACAATTTCATTTACCTGTTCTAGACATTATAAGATAAAAAGTTATTATTATGATATCAGGAAGTAAAAACTAATGCAATACATTCCTAATTCATACACAAAACATTATAAAAGTTGAAAAATGAGTCAGTATAGTTACAGGTTATACAATAAAATGGTGGATTCATGTTAAACAGCGATGTGAATAGTTAAAACTCTTATATTCTGCAAAAACCTGTCTAATAGTTCCTTAGTTTACTGTTAATCAGCATAAAACTGTATGCAGCTATAAGCTGTTTTCTTTACTTTTAATCGTTCACAAGCTCTACCGTTAGTTATAATGTGAACAATTAAACAGTTGTTATACATACTCTTTAGGGATCCGTAGTATTATATCTAAAACCACCGCATGAATAACTTCTAGTTCAAAATTATCAAAGCGATATTATTTAGTACACCATTTTACGGGCGGGCGAACACTCCAAATCGGGTAGAAAGATATTAATTTTTTTCAATAAAAAATAGAATTAAACAATTAATGTTATCACCGAGGTTACTGGAAGAAGAACTTGGACACACATAATTTGTTGCATGTGCAACATCTTCTGAGCTATTGCAATTAATAATTTGTGCGGAACCATCATTAATAATTCAAACTATTTGTCACGCTTTGCGTTACTTCCCGACTTGAACGTTTTATTTCTTGTCTTCAAAATTTTTTGGTACACTTTCGATAATTTTCTTCTAATAGTTCTAGCTTTCATTTTCCACGAATTACTCAAATTCATATTTATAAAGCAATAAAAAATATATACGTCGGTAATATAGCCATCAACTAGTTACACTGACTGAATACAGTACCATATATATTACTTTTATTCAGATAACGTCTGATTAAAGGTACTTATGTAAACCACTATAAAGTAATAGCCGATACTTCGATATAGATACAATGAGTCTCTAAGCAGCTGCAAAGCATCTAGTGAATGTTTAAACAGTCACTATGCAGACACTATCAATGACAGTATAAAGGCTGATTAGCGGTAGACATGTTCAGCAATAAGCTGTAAAGTGGGCCACCAATCATCCCTTATACAGTTATTAACTTCATATTAGTTCACACGTGCTCCTTTAATAAGTCAGTGAAATAGGAGTTCACACATACCTTCTTATACAGCATTTGGCGTAATTTCATCCACTAAACAGCCCTTACTACGGTTAAGGCATTAGAAAATGTTAAAAGCTGAATAGAGTCGTTGAAAATATACCTTCATAGCACTCTTAGCGTATTAATGGTAGTTTCGTTGGTCTTGATCAGCCTTAATGCAGCTCTTAATCAGCCTAAGCTGTTTAAATATCACTGACAATTATTATGCAGCTGTAGGATCACCAGTGTACTCTTAAAAGAGTCTTAATACGCATAGAGATTCAAATAGGTCTAAAAGTGAGTAGTTATACAGCTATCTGTGCTACTTGGGAGGTACTAGGTACGTGTAACACATAAAAAAAAAGAAAATTCACTTCCTTCTTTTTTAGTAAGTACTTTTACTTGGTTAGTAAAAAAAAAGTCATATTATTTTATCCTAAGTAAAAAGGCGTTATATTAATGGGATTTTACGTGCCCAATGTATGAAATAAATCTATTCTATACATATAATAAATCTGTAGAAGTCGTGTCTGTAATTCTAATATATTCTTGCAAAAACAAGTCCAGGGGACTAAATAAAGGTTTCTGAACCCAAATTAGTGGTTTTTAGAATTTTTGTCTGTCTGTCCGTCTGTCTATCTGTCTGTCTGTCTGTGTATTCCGGATTCACGCAAAAACTACTGAACCGATTTACATGAAATTTTATATGTAGGTAGTCAGTAACCCGGGGCAATTTACAGACTACTTTTTATCCGATTACGAAACTTCAAAAAAGGAAGATTAAGTTTTATTTCCTTTAGATTTTAATTTAATTTTATGTTATATCTTAGTTATACGCGGGATGACGGGTGTTTTTCAAATAAATACCATATTTGTAAATAAAGTTTAAAATATAGTTATAACCTTGGTAAAATAATTTGAAACTACATCGATTTGGTTATCAAAACAGCGCCATCTATCATTAATTGGAAAAAGTAGTATATTTTGCCTTCCGTTACTAATAAATGAAATAATATAAATAAATTACATTTATGTATATGATTAAATGATTAGGTTTTTGAAATTATTAAAATATTCTAACATTCAGTTTTTTAGTATTTTTGTTATTTTTTATTCGAAAACTATTTACCTTTCTTATGGATACATCGGAAAACACGCCCGATATAAAAAATAGTACCTAGGCGTTTCTAGACATACTCGTATATATTCACGTGATCTTGTAGCATGTTACCAATCATCTACGTCTAATAGTTTTTAGAATGAAAAAATCTTTGACAGACAGAGACACAGACACCGAGGTGACTCTAAAAGTGATCGAATTTTTGTATATTTGGCACGGAACAGCATTTAATGATGTTCCTAAATTCAAGCTCATGCGAGCGAAGCCGCGGGTAAAAAGCTACTATTAGATAAAGTTTTGGGAGGGTAATCGGCTATTATGTCTGGTGTATGTGGACCACGAAAAAGCCTTCGCTTCCTAACTGAGACTACTACTTCCTAAATTAACAATTGCAAAAGGGCGATATTTTCTTTAACCGCCGTACATGTGGTTAATCAGACGTAAAATGGTAAATAAACAATCTCATTGGTGCCGGTGAGGATCGAACCTAGGTTTCTCGCGTATCGTAAAATTTACGGCGAGCGCATATCCCCCGAGCTTCAACGGCTCTTTTAGGAGATAACTGTTTTTTTTAGCATGTAGCAAAATTGCGACTTCTAACAAATGGTCAACCAATTTTGCATGCCTTAAGCGAAAGCGCAAGGTATGTTCTAATATCGCTTAAAATTAAGATTCCAACGTTTTATCGAATAAAATCGTATCTAGCAATCATATTATACATATAAATGATATAAAAAGCACATTGTTAGAAAGATAAATGATTGTTGAACTTATTAATTTTTTTTTAATCGATTAATTGCTATTTTTAAATAAAAAAGGGGTTTTAGTGGCTTATGGTGTGGATTTATCA